GATGGTAGCTGCGCATGTAATCGCAGAAAACCAAGTAGGTGGCGCCAGATGGTTTGAACTAATCCATGATTGGGGGGGGGGGGGGGCAGTGTCCGGGTATGGGAACAATCAAGCCGATGGAGTATGAGGAGCAGGAGCAGAAGATCAGGAGGAGCAGGAGCAGGAGCAGGAGCAGGAGCAGGAGCAGGAGCAGGAGCAGGAGCAGGAGCAGGAGCAGGAGCAGAACGAGAAGCAGGCAGGAAGCAGCAGGGAAGCAGGCAGGGAAGCAGGCAGGGAAGCAGGTCGCTACAGGATTGTTAGTTGTGGGCTCGGTGCTGCTAGTGTAGAGGCAACCTGTGACCTCATTTTTCAGACCAAATTGCGCGAAAGACAAGGCAATGGCAGACAAAGTGCCTGGGAGGGTGAAGGGGGGAGGAGGAGGAGAGGGAGGGAGGGAGGGAGAGAGAGGAAGGGGAAGTGTAGTTAAGATACAGCCTTGCTTGCATACTATGTGTTCGAAGTTAGCTGTGATCATTTTGACTCCTCTGTCATCTCTTTTGCTGCCACAGCAAACATCTATAGAGGTGGTACAAGTATGTATGAGGTCTGAGGAATTTAGAGGATGGAAGATGTATGATGTAGGAGACTGCATGACGTCAATGATCACCCGGCAGTAGCGATGTCTGACTTGTCTATCGAGTAGAGACGATGTCGATGTCATTGGCAGAAGCGAAACAGAGCCTGAAGGCAATGTTCCCTGCCCTCGACGACGATGCGATCCAAGACATTCTGCAGCAGACGAACGGGAATGTCGAGCAGGCCGTAGAGTCTCTCCTTTCCATCTTCAGCGAAGCAGGAGCGGTGAGCACTACACAGGGACGTTTCCTCCATTCTCACAGCAACATTTGCAGGAGCCGCAGGCTTTGCAGGCCCCGGGGAGAGACGCTGGAGACAGTCAAGCATGGAGCTCGTCCGCTGCTCCTCCCAAGGTGAAGCAGGAAGATGGAAGACACGTTCAGTTCTCGCCCGATTGCGCGAGGCAGAACCGATTCTCGGACGAGACGGAGACTTTTCCTCCTCCTTCCGATGACTTCCTCACGCTGGCACGGTACATGAAGTCCAGCGGTCAGAACAGCGACGAGCAGTGCTTGGAGGACGAGGCTCTCGCAAGGAGGCTGCAGGACTCGCTGTACCTCCAGGGAGTGGAGGAGATGGCCCGAAGGCAGGACGGGGCCAGTCAACGCCGAGAGGCTGGGCCACCAGCAACATCAGGTGAGGTTGTACGTTGAGAAGCAGACGGTGAGGAGTCGATAGGAAGGAGCGCTCCGCCGCAAGGGACAAGCGACATGAGCTTCGAGAACTTGTTCGGGTTCAAGACTGAGGTGACGCTATGGAGGAGGAGAGATGGGCAGAGAAAGGCAGGGGAGGGGAGGGGGTATTGAAGTGAAGGAGACGGATAGGGTTGAAGAGGATGGGAACATTGGAAGGAAGATGAAAGGAGTAGAAAGGAGGTGGGGGATGACAAGGGGTAGAGGAAAGGGAGCCTAGGGGAACGGGGACGAGTAGGGAGCGGTTTTCAGGGTTGCTCAGACGTGTTGACAGGACCTCAAGAAGAAGATTGGCACGATGGGTGTGACGGCCAAGTCGAAGATGAATCAGTTCATGAGCAAACTACAGGTCTGCCCTTCATGTCGACCAACTTCACTCTGATCTACATGATGTTTGATGTCCTGTCCCACGTGCAACCTCGTCACCATGCAACCTACAGGGAAAGGAGATGACACCTGTCCAAACTTCTCCGCCTCCTTCGTTGAGCTACAGGTGAGCACAAGGGAGGAGGGGAGGGTGGGGGGGGGGGAGCAATGGCGGATATTGATGAGAACTACCTCAGGCCAATCGAATCTGACTATGACGACACAACGGTTTGAGGATAAGAGGGCACTGGTCGAAGGTTTGTAAAGTTTCTTCGCAGGTCCTCACCTCCCAGACGGCTGATCAGAACATCTCAAAGAGGGCAGGTGAGGAACAATCGGTTCATCGTTGTCTTTGATAGACTCCATTCCACCTCATCCATTCCCTCCATCCATACTCTCTTTTCCCCGCATCTCGCCTTCTAAACAGCTCCTGGGCGTCTTAGAATCTCACCAGCCTCCTGCTGCAGGTGCGCACACTCTTGAGGATGACGACGAGCAAGACCACGGGCTGGTTGACAAGCGAAGCCATGCCATGGCCGCTCGTCAGTCCGGCACAATAACAGGTGAGGGTAAGGACAAGAAAGTAGATTGAGGCTGAGGCATGTGGAATAAATCGAGTTTATTCTTTGATCGCGATAGGTGAACACCTTCTTAGTTGACACAATAAGCGCTAACTGAAACAACTGAGTTACAGCACAGGACTCAGTTGTTACAGCACAGGACTACGTCCAAGACCAACGTGACCAGTCTTTTACACTGACCTGCTTCAGACTGAAACACATGCTCTGCATCCTAAGAAGCAACAATCTAAGAACACATCATGCGCCAGTGAAGGACACTGCATCGCTCACGTGTACGCGCAACCCTCGGGCATGATTAAGCGTCACATACCAAAATGCAAGGCTTTCAACAACTACGCAACCTAACACATGGAACAACGAACCACATCTTCACACAAGGAAGGACGAACAGCTATTAACTGGCCTAAGCACATCTGGTAGTCAAAGCAAAAGTCTACCAATAGCCCTTTCAGCCTTGCTAGCTTATCAATATGACCGAAATCCGCGGATGAAATGATCTTCTGAGCATAACCTCACATTACCGTAAGCATCACCATCTATTGCACAAGGTTAAACACACGTATGGATACATATTTACCGTAGAATTCACCACTGAAGCTGCTCAAGCTGCAACCGTCAGTATCAGCATCCCATCAAAAGTACATAATGGAACGATCGGGGAGAGCAGCGCATAAGTCTTCTACCTCTATCACAGCGGTTCTCATCTCGATCCTCTTGGAACTACGGAACCTGAACCTGCTCTGCCCTACAGCATAGTGAGATATGAGCATGGTGACTCGCAGACGGTCTGATGCGGCAACCGCCGTCCTCTTCCCCCTTGCTAGATGTAGCCAGCCTGCATCCCGTCATTTGTAGGGCGCACGATATGTACCAGGAACTTATCTGAAATTATCAGATACACATTATCTGGTACTGCAAAAGTGTACTGTGATATGATTGAGTATATCTTGTCGGTAGTCATATTAGTACCAGTGCATGTCAGGTCATGTTGTAAAGAAAGACGTATCCATAGCATCCTCTTACGAGGTCCTCCTCTGAAGTAAATTACAACAAGCTGTCGGTTGTGGGGCTAAGGTAGGTACTTAATGGTAGAAAGTAGGGGTAGCATAGAATTGCGTTGTAATGTAGTAAATGGTAAATACCTGTGGTAAGCTACATGTAGTAATTTGAGGGTAGTAATTTACATGTTGTAAAGACTTGGTAGTAAATACTCGTGTGTAATGTTGGTACTAAAGGATAAGTCAAACTAATGAGTCACGGCAACCTACAGTTGTTGATGTGTATACACCCCCCAAATCAAGGGATTTACATAGGGTGCGCAGTACACTTCGGGCGGTGGTATAGTTGAGAGTACCTGGTATGAATACAGGGGGTCAGGGGTGGACATTCCGAAGATCCTTCACAGCTGAGAGGCAAGCATCTTGCCTCTACGATTTTTCTTTTGGATCAATTGAAACATTTCAGCCCCTTGACATGTTAAATAGATGTCATTCAACGGTACACAGCTTCTTCGATTCCCTCATGGGTGGGGTTGACTCATCGGAAACTTAGTCATTATGTGGTAAACAAATGTAAGAAACAACCCCTACCACCCCCTTCAGCAACACCCACCTAGATTGTCATCTGAAACCAAAGGAGGATTGGACCGGTATGCATGTTACTTCAATTTTTTGGATGAGAACAATGGGTACTGTCTTCAGGGGTAAACAGATTTTACCACTAAGGATGTGTTGTAATAGTTGCTGTCGTAATTAATGTTGTAATTTACAGAATTTTGGTTGTAAACTATGTTGTAATCTTCTGTTGTACATAGTAAATACTGTTGTAATCTTCCTGTTGTAAATGGTAATGAATGTTGTAAAGTTTGGGATAAGGTGGGGGTAGGATCCTGGATTTATGAGGGTAGGAGTGGATGGGTTGTCTGTTGTAAACAGGGGGTAGTAAACAAGGAAAGCTTTTAGGGGCAGGCCCCATTGACTGCCGTAATGGCATGAAAGTCTGGCACGCGAGGGGTCTATGACCCTGTAGGTTCCTCCACCCCTCTCTTCTGACACCCTCATCCCTACCCCCTCTCCTTTATTTTTTCCTATGTGATGTCAATGTTTTAGCATCAGGGGTTCACTGTCAACCTGAAGAGGTTGCTAGGGTTCAAAGGGGGGGTAGTGGGTCATGTGAAGTCGAAACTTGGTGGGTGCAAGTGTATAATCTTCGCAAGCCAAAGTTGAAAGTTTGTTCTTTATGAAATGTAACAATATTTGAAATATTTGTAAAAATCTTGAATTTTTGTGCTTGAGTTTTCGCATTACACTCTCACACATTCCAACTATATCCCGTGCCCGGGCATACGTGACCTGATTGTTGGTCACATGGGAACCATCAGTACAGGACGCATGCCATGACAGTCACTTGATTTCATATGTCGGTTCCTAAGTTCAAAAGGCCATCCTCTGACCCCTTGGGCATACGAATCCTCAGACCTCGATCATGGGGGATAGGATGACACAACTGGATAATCTTTTAAGAATAAAAGGTTTTTTCTAAATCCTTTTATTCTTAAAAGTAATATTCCGACTAAATGTATGCTTTTTGAGATTACATGTTATTTTAGCACAAGGAACGATTCGTGCGAAGCGATTGGGTATTTCAATTCTTCGTTTTCAAGTCAATTAGGGGGTAGGTCCATTCCACTACCCGATGATTTGTCGATAAAAGTACCGGTGTTTAGGCGGGAACCTGTCAATTCGGAGTGGTAGGGTCCAGTACTCCTCAACTTATTAAGTTTTAATATTTAAATGAAGATTTTAGAGACGCAGGAGGGCTTGCTGGGGGTATCTATACCCCATTCAAATCATAACAACCCCATGCTTTTATTCATAAGGGGGTAGTGGTCCTGTACCCACCCTACATAAGCAATTCTTGTCCAATTCTAATGGGAAGGTCATCTATTCGTACAGGAGGTATTGGCATTGAGGTCATTCATTGAGATCCAATTGAGAATTGAGCTACACTTGCCCCCCTCTTTCGACATCTGTTTTCGATCATTATGAACCCCCTGTATATTCACGGGATCTAAATCGGACTGTGTGGTAGCTGGTAGGTAGGGTTATTCCACCCACCCCATCTCCGCCTCCCTCCCCCAGAATAATAAGCCTTTCGGTGCCTGTCCTCCCGAAACTCGCCTGCGGTCTCTCGATCCACATGCATTCGAGCTACTCCTCCTCCTTCTCTCCACCGTCCTCCCCGTCCCCCACCTTCTCGATGGCTTCGTTTCAGCCCAACATGTCAGCCTATCCCTCCATCCACCCTCGTTTCGACCAAGAGAACCGCGGGAACCTTCTCCTGATGGCCAACTGGGGATCCCACTCGGAACATGGCTCTCGACCCGTATGCAAGAACAGTCTGAGTCAGCAAGAGTCCGAAGCGGAGTGGTTCATGCGGGCCATCAGCGACATTCAAACTGCCGACGAGACTGTCATGACCGAGGATACCTACTATCTTTCACCTGCTTCGGACCACAGCGAGCCCTCGGAATCCACGTCTTCGAACTCGGCGGAGGAAGAAGATCTCCCGATCGGAACATGTTTGAAAGCTCTGCCTCGCAATCGCTCAAGCATGATATCGAATACGTCGCACACCAAATTGACGCTGGCGAAGAAGCTCGAGATCATCGAGTACTACCAGAAGTATGCCTGTACACAAGCGCACGTATCAACTGTCTTCGGGAAGAGCACCTCCGCGATATCCAAACTGCTACAGCCTGAAAACATCAAGCGCTTGAAGAAGTTGGCTGAAGCTGGTGTGACCTCGAACATGAAGCGCTGCTCTGCGATCCATCATCCAGAGCTTGAAGGCCGCGTGCACGAATTCGTGAAGTCATTGGAAAAGAATGATGCGCATTGCATCAGCAAGCTCTGCGAGTTTGCGCTGTCGACAGCCAAGGAGCTCAACATTGAGAAATTCAATCCGAATAGAAGATGGTGCCATCGCTTCCTCAAGCGGCATGGCTTCAGTTTGTCCAAAATCCGATGCGTTAAAGCTGAGCTCCGGTGAAAGAGCAATCCTGTGTTGTTTAGCATTGTACAATTCTTTTCTTTGGCTTTGAAACGATATTAAAATCTTTGATTAACCTCAAGTGAATTGATTCAGCTTTTGAAATGTGTTACCGTGTGAAGGGACCAGAATCAGGTTGACTTCACATAGTCAAAACAAATCGTGTGAAATTGAAATGCATGTAAGACGCTTGCACACAGCATTTTGTTAGTCTGATATAACTAGCCAGTCTTGTCTGCTTCCCTGATCGACAAGATGTTGATCACAGCAAACCTTGTTGTCGTTGGCCAGTCGCGTCATATAATAATGATGCCGGGTAGAACATCGCGCACGGTGGGGTTAGATCAAGACCGCTAGGGGATATCAGGCCCGCCTCGGTCTCCTTTGGGATGGAATGCGCGGGGATGAGGTGTAGCACGTCACCAATGTCCAAAAGAGCTATGCTTACATTACTATTTAAAATGTTTTAGATACCCCCTACTATATCACCCACTGTTTCTCTGTCATAATGAGGGGTACTGGATTATGTTAAGAGTTTTTTGGTCCCCTGTCAACCCCCCACCCCTGTTCGTCGACTACCCTTTGTTTTGACACTGAAGTACCCCCAATCGCCCAGCTAAACCTGTTCCAAGGTATTAGAGTAATACGTAAAAGGAAAAATAGTGGTTGTAAAAAGTTGACACAGAAAAAAAGAGAGATTAGGTGTTTGGGGATGAGGGCTCAGGAGTGCTGAGTGGGGATGTGGGTCCGGATGTGGGTCCGGATGTGGGCAATGTGTGGGGATGAGGGCTGGGATGAGAGTAAGGGTGGGGATGAGGGTAGTCGGGGAGATGAGGGCACAAAGCCCAGGGATGATGGAACATGCCCCCGCGCACAGAAGCATGGTGGCGCGAGCGACAGCAGCTATGGCGTCATCAGCTGTGACCTCGTCGACATTGTCCATGTCAGCGACAAGGATGGTGGGCAAGACGATAGTGAAGAAGGGGGGGGAAGCAGAGGTAGGGCATCTTTACAGTGACGATAATCCCGGGACCACCCAGAAGGGTACCGGCTTCGCCAATGCAGAAGCCGCCTTGAGGACAACTAGACTGGTTGAGGACAGACCTCCCAACAAACGAATATGGACCATCAATACCATGCTGCACCGTGCCAAGCACCATCCTCACCAAACACAGGGAATGCGGGATGCGATCGCCATTTTCGAAGACTGGATCCGAAAATACAAGGAGGAAAAGGAGAGCCAGAAGAAGGCTAAAAAGAATTCTTCGACAAGATCTCAGAGCCAACCACACGACCAGCATAGAGAGCTGGTTGCAAGCTCTGCGAACGCCTTTTCATATGCCAATTCAAAGGACTTCGATAGCTTTCTATCCCTTTCACGAGAAACCTTGAAAGAGGGAAAGGCGGCGCTACGGAAGGCCGTTGAAGAAGCTTCTCGTCAGTCGTCATGTGCTGGTGCTGCGGCATGTACAATACAGCAATTTACCGCTGTGTTCGGCGGGCCGGGCACTCATGGGTATGGAAAGCATGTCATTGAGGGTGGGAGGCACACAGTGAGAATTGAAAGCGTGGAGGAGCTCACGAAGATGGTGGGCAAGACATGTGTGCGAGGACTCAAGGTAGAATCAGAAGCTGCCAATCAGTGTCTCTCAATGTGACGTTTACCTGCAGGAGGGCAGTATCAGCTTCGAAGTAACTTACCAAGAAAGCGAGTCGGATGCTTTCCTATGCTTTCAGGTAGACATGTCATGATCTGCGGCGGCGGAAGTAAGTGAAAATTCCTAACGTGTCTACAGATCAATCGTGGGGAAAAGGCGACTCGAACTCTAGATAGTTTCTTCATAAAAGCCAAATGAACTCCGGCAGCGGCAGTGCCTCGCGGCAACTTGACCAGTCTCTGTCGGAAAAGATCGTACGGTACGGTAGTGATCGGATCGGACAGTTCGAGTCGCCGATGATCGGCGGACCGTCCGCGCGCGCCGCGCGGCCGCCCGGCGTCCGAGTCACTGGGCCGGCGGAGCCGGACCCGGCCCGCGGGCCGCCGGGTACGGTAGCCTCCCGGACAGACGGTCATCAGTAAGCTTCACGGTCACACCGGGGGTCTCAGTATGAGGACAATTCATCCGATCATCAAGCCCGGGCCTGAGCTCCCGGGCCCCCCTCGCCGGCCTCACCGGGGGGGGGGGCGAGTGCTGAGAGGAGGCTTGCAATCATGATGATTTACTAGAAAGTGAAGTCGCGCACTCCGCCAAACTACCATGCCGGCAGGCCCGGCCCATCCGACCCGGGCAACTTGTGTGGTTCACCGTCCGGCCGGCGTGGCAACTTTGACTGAGTGATTACCGCCCCGGGCCGGCGGCCCGGGTGGTGGAGGTACCGTCCGGTCAACGGTCCGCTAAGTGATAGGGGGGGTGGGGGTGGAAGCCTGCGCTTCAACGGATGTCAAAAAAACGCTATGCTGATCAGCTTCCCCAGTGATTGAGACTTGAAGTGGGACAAACACTCGACACAAGGCAAGACAAGACAAGGCAAGACAAGACAAGACAAGACAAGACTCGCCAAGACTCAAGGCAAGGCAAGGCAAGGCAAGGCAAGACACAGTAAGTAAGAACCGAGAAAAGACAAGCCTGTGACAAGTGAGAAAAGGGTATAGAGGATGCCCAAGAAGAAGGGAGCAGGAAAAAGAAAAATTCAAGAGACCCCCGAGGAGCGTCAGATGAGATTGGAGATGGAAGCTCTCAAGGTCTCTTCACATTCTCACACATTCTACATCAAGCGCCCATCCACTCGTCTGAAACTTTTGATGCAGGCGGCAGAGGAGGCGAAGTTTAGGACGGACAAGATGCGGCATACACTTGAGACGAGGCTGAATGAAGAAGCTGAATTCAGCAAGTGAGCAGAGCAGCACGCATGCTTCCTCCCCTGCAGTAGGTGACACTGTTGAGTCAGGCTGAACATGGCCAAGATTCAACATCAGTGGAGGAAAATCATGAGAGTTGCCAAAGTAGAGCAGCTGCGGCACGAGCTAGAGATCATGTCGCAGAACCATGAGAGGGAGGTTGACATGAAGGATGCGATCATCCAGGTGATGAGCCGCCGGTCCGGTTAACTCTGCTGAGCTCAACGGTGCTGGCAGATGCTGGACAGAGACCTTGATGAAGCGGAGGAGCAGTACCAGACAGCTCTAAGAAGCCATCTGCACAACCTGGATACCATGATCAATCTCTTCGATGCCAAGATGTCAGATCTGAGGTATGGCAGGAAGATCGTCGACTTGCTGTCGTGCTGACGGCAAGCAGGATGGAATTTGAGTCGGAGCTGCAAAGAATGATCAACGACTTTTCCAAGGAGCGACGTGAAACTCTTGAGGGTCACAACAGGAGGACCAAGGAGTTCAGCGACATCCTTGACCTCCAAGAGGAGCAGTTCCAGATGCTGGAGGAGGAGCAGCACCAAGAGTTCGAGAGCCACTGCGAGGTCCGTGGGAGACGATGATGAGTCGAGCGAGGGGGAGGCAAGAAGAGCTGACGAGGGTTGTAGGAGATCAAGAACAAGAACATGGAGGAGCTCAACGTGCTGAGGTTGACGCTTGAGGGACAAGTGAGAGACTCTCTTGCCTTGCTGACCTCTCCTGCTCACATGCTGCGTCTGTTTGTTCACAGATCGAAGACCTCGAGAAGCATTTCCTCGCAGCGGCAGACAGCTACAGTGCAAACACCAAGGACAAGGCAAGAGAGTGTGGAGGAGCAGAGTTGTTGCCTGACTCCCGCTCAGGTGCAGAAGTTCAAGGAGTACACTGAGAGAGATCGCAAGGCAGCCATGACGATCGACACTCAGATGAAGAGGCTGCTGCGTCTACAGGTGCTCCTCTCTTGACTTGCTGACTACCTGCTGCTGGGGACCTGCTGAAGGTTTCACGCAGGACAACCTCGCTCTGTGGCGAGCGAAGATCGCGTCAAACACAGAGGAGAGCGTGAAGCGTAACAGCTTGCTGAAGAAGGAAAAGGAGAGTCTGCAGGAGCACTTCAACCGGACCAAGTTGGCGATGAACAGAATGAGGGAGGAGCAGGCGACGATCTTGAAGCAGCTGAGCGTCGAGTGCAACGACTGCGACAAAACTCTGTCGAGCAACATCGCCCTGGTGAGGGCAGAAAACTTTACCTCCTCCTCTTGGTCCTCCTCCTCCCTTCCGTCCCTCCTTCCGTCCCTCCTTACCTCCCTCCCTCCCCTCTCTTCTTTCCTTCCTTCCTTTCGTTCTGTACACTTCCTGCTGTTGCTGCTCTTGTTCTTCGTTCTTTGTTCTGCTGCTTCACCACAACCATCATCACCTCTGACATGCGTGCAGGCTGAGCGGATCCTGAACACGGCAGAGCTGAACCGCAAGCTGGAGACAGAGAGGGAGAAGGTGGTTCCCTTCTACCCGAGCCTGAAGTTGACCGAGGAGGACGAGCTCTCGCTCAACGATCCTCCTGCTGGACTCCAGGAGGAGGCAGCAGCCCTCAGCAGCTACTGCAGGTCGCAGAGCGGGCAGACGGTAGAGAAGTGGAACATGCTTGACAACTTCCTGCGCAAGTACAACATGGTGCTGCTGGACAAGGAGGCGATCCGAAGGGAGAAGGAGAGGCTCCTGCAGGAGAACGGGGACCTCCGCAGCATCCTCAAGCAGTACCTTGACGGAATCTCCGTCAACCAGAATGTCCTCCAGGTGAACAGTCTCCTCCCTCCTCCCCTCTCTTCCCCTCCCCCGTTCTCGTCCTCATCCACCACGTCCTTCGTTGCCTGATCTTCACCTTTATTCCTCCTCTAGTCTTCTTATGTCTCCCCCCTCCTCTCCCCTCCCCCTCTTCGTCCTCCTCTCCCCCACTCCTTGTCTCTCAGCTGAAACTGTCGACAGGCGCCGAACCCTCTCATGATCGTCAACGAAAGGAGCAACATTCAAGCTCAGCCCCAGCAGACCTCCCTCGGCCCCTCCACCATCGTCGATGGTTATCAAGTCGTTGCCCAGCAGGTTCGAGTCCTCCTCCTCCTTGCTCTAGTCATGTCTGCTCTGCTCTGCTCTGCTCTGCTCTGCTCTGCTCTGCTCTGCTCTGCTCTGCTCTTCCACCTTCCCTCCCTCTTGGTCTTCGTTTTCTCTCCTCCCTATCTTAGTCTCCCCTCCCTCCTCGCCCGCTCCGTCCCTCCTCTTATCTTCTTCTTTCTGACGCCTCGTACAGTACTACCAGGCCAACTTTGGTTTGTGAGGTGATGAGAAACAAGTAGATGCGAACGCAACGGCGAGAAAGAAAGACAAGTATAACACACAAGTGCAGACGACACTGTCTTCCTCTCGTTCCTCATTGAAGCTGAAGTTTTCATCCTTAAGTTTGATCCTTCCTGCTTGAACTCCCTTCTCCTCCTCCCCACCCACCCACCCATCCTCCTCAATCACTACCATGTCCACCTCCATCTCCACCTTCCTCCTTCCTCCTTCCTCAACCACCGCACTTCAGTTGAAATCAACCAGCTCATCCTTCACATCGACTGCTTCCCTTCTCTCCTCGCCCATCCTTCCTTGTCTCTCCACTCCCTCGCCTACTACTTCCAACCTGCTACCTCCATGCTGACCCTCTCCCTCGATAACCGCTGGTCTCCTCCCAGGTCCAGTCCCCATGCCCTGCCCCGCTTCTCTCGCCCCCCCCCCCCTCCTTGCTGTCATCTCCCCTCCCTTGCTCATCTTGCCCCCGCTCTCTCCCTCCCCCTCTCCTCCCCTTCCCTCTCCCCTCCAGCATTTTCGCTCTCGGAGTTGCTCCGGCCCTAAAGTGAATTCGCAACGTCAGGAGGAGGTAGGAGGTACGAGACAGAACCGAGGAGGGAGCAGACAGCGGGATGAGAGAAGGGAGGAGTGAGGAAGAGGAGAACGCGGAGAAGCAATGGAATGCAAGGAAGAAGACTGAAGTGCAAGATGACAAAGATTAGATGTCGATGTGTTTCTTTCATGCCTGTTGTGATGATAGTACAACTTGTCTTCTCCTCTCCCTATCCTCTTCATCCTCTTCATCATGTCGCTTCTAAGTGCTATGCAGACTTTACTGGCAAGGAGAAGAAGCTTCAAGGCCGATGAGTGTCGAGGAAGACACGAAGCTACAAGACGAGTTGTGCTTCGTGGACGACCTGCGCTTTTCTTGGCATCGGCAAGATCTCACCTGACGTTTCAGCTCAACGCTCATCACTAGCAACAGGGACTTACAAGGCGACAAGCATGAGGAGGCGGCAGGGAGGAGCGAGGAGGACGAGCGAGTCGTGGACGTCAAGCGGTTCCCTGCTACTCGGATGTAGGAGGAGGCTGAAGGGAAGTACAGGGTGCACGAGGTGCTTCACGGCAAGTACCGACGAGCATGTCAGATGCGAGACGGTTTCATCTTCCTCCTCTTCCTCTGCTTCTACCTCGGTCAGCACTCCCCACCTGCTGCCCCTGCTGACAGTCTCTGTCCAGCTGCCGTCTACCTGCAGTCTTCAGCTGGAGGAGTCGTGGAGGTATCCAACGCCCTGAGATCGAGCTTCCTCGCGCCCACGTGACCTGACCCTCCTCTGCCGTCAACCCCTAACATGATCCTTCTCCTCCTCCTCCTCCTCTTCTTCTCCTCTCCTACTGCAGCTTCCAGGACCCTTACACCTTCGACCTCAAATCGTATCGAGACATCACAACCCTGGTACCCCTCCCCTCCCTCCCTCCCTCCCTCCCTCCCTCCCTCCCTCCCTCCCTCCCTCCCTCCCTCCCTCCCTCCCTCCTCTAACTTGCATGCAGCGAGATGTCTGGATGGTAAAGGGCTGGCTGTTTTGTTCTTCTCCTCACCTTTGGCAGTGGATGTTCTACGTCATGGCGCCGCTTGTTGCTCAGACGTCTCAGTCAGCCTCCACCAATGTGTTGACGGTATCAAAAGGAGGAGGAAGAGGGGGAGGGGAGGGGGAGGGAGAGTGACAAGGAGACCGACGGAGA